TTTTAACGGAAACAAACTTACAAAAAGTGCCATAATAATTAAACATAATGATGTTTTTTGAACTCATTATGTATAGTAAAAGTATGAATAATGGGGAGGAATATACATGTTTTTTTTTTTAGCATACGAAATTTTTTAATCAGGTTATAATATGCTTAAGCAAAAAGTAAAAAGAGGCTCAAAAATATGCTTAAGCTTAAGCATATTTCTAATAAAATATACCTATTTCAATAATTTATAAAAGTGTGAGCGTTACTAAAGGTTAATGGGTATAAGAAAAATAAAAAGTTGACTTATGCTCTGTATTTTTGCTTTGGTTTTAATGTATCTGATTTATTGTTGTTATAAATTTCGGTTTTTGTTGTTTTTGTTGGTTTAAATTTAGAAATATATATAATTATAATTTTTAATTAAATAAAAATAAAATTTTTAAAATGGTTTATCAAGGCTCAGAAATATGCTTACATATGCTTTTTTTTTTTTCCAAATCTGGGCCTATAAGCGTTATGTTTATAGCAAAAAAAACATGAGTATATACAGTAGAATTCCGTTGTCTTGGTCCATGGATAAGTAGGACTTTAAAGCTATCCATAAATGATGTCAGTAAATATAAGGGGGAGGGGGTACTGAAAAGTTTGACAAGAGTTGACAATGGGGAGTGGGTGTTGAGACCAAATTGATGTCCATTTAAGAAAAAAAATTCAAGTTTATTAGCCAAATTCACGTCAGAAACTGGGTCTATTTGTAGGGAAAAAAATAAAAATGGTAGCTTTGTTTAAACCTTTTTTGTGTGTGTTTTTTATTCAAAAAAAAGTTTTATTATTAGCTTTAGCTATCCTAGATTTTAAAATGAAAAGACATTCTAAAAACACAAATGGGAAACCAATGGGATTTTATCGTCTTCCACGTGTAGAAGCTTTTTAGAGCAAATACAAAAAATTTTTTAAAACATTTGGAATGTATTGAGATCATGATCACATTTGGTCACAATACGACTTTAAACTAAAGTCACTATTTTTATTGAAAAAGATTTGAAATTTATATAAACAAAACTATCTATATACAAAAATAGACTTCACACAGTTTTGTTGTTATTTTTAGCGCTACTATTTTAATTTTTTTCCTTCCAATTTGTTTATAAATTTAACAATCATTATTCGATCCCAACGGATTTTAAAATGTGCTTTAAAGCAAATACATAAAGTCATTATTATCGAAGAACACTTCAACAACTCGTGGGAAGATGATGAGTGATTGAATTTATATTATAGATATAGAATAAAATTTTCAATAGTTTGTTTACTATTTGATGAGGTATCAACTGTTCTATAATATAATATGCTGAGATATAAATATATAATTTAACCAGAAAAAATTGATGGTGTTTACACATATTTTTAATGGTACTTTAGGTTTGACAAAGAGAGGAGGGGTTTAAAAATTGAGAAAAATCATAGACATCAATTATGGACAGCCTTTTTTACTAAGTTGGAAAGTTTTTCAATTTTCCTTGAACTTTCTATAAATACCAAGAGCTACGCTTAACTCGGACATTCCCTAAGTCGTACTATTTATCTGTTTCCATTAAGAGTTCAAGTTAACCAGATTTTACTGTATATATATATATGTATGTATATATATATATATATATATATATATATATATATATATATAAGATATATTTGTATATTTTTATAATTTTATTATTTAAACTGTTAAATGTTAATATCTTAAATATATTGTAACATAATATCTTTTGCGTCTTTTTTGTAACTGCACATTCCGGAATGTTCCTTCCGTTAGAAACTATTTCATAAGTATTCTTACGAAATGATTTGTTTTGCATGTTTTCTTTCGCAATGCTTTATTACAGAATTTTATTTATTTATAATTTCGTATAGTGCGTTACGGAATGTGCATTTTTGCATGTGCAACTTCCGCAATAACAATTCTATTACGGTATATAAAGATGCGATTTTTGCGCAAGTTTTGTTTTTCTGCGAAAAACCCTACTTAAAACACTTTTAATTTTTCCAGTAATTTCCAGATGTTTTTTGATATTAATTTGAAAAAAAGTTAATATATTTTTACATAAAATTTTACATACGACACCTTTTGCATTTAAACAAATATGTTTTCTATAATTAAAATTTTCACGAGATAAATTTTTGTAACAATTTTTTTTTTTTTTTTTGCTTTTTAATTCATTCAAACTTTTTCAAATATTAGAAATTTCTTTTTGTAAAAAGTTGAATAATTTAAATTCCGTTTGTCAGTTAAATGCAATCAATTTTCAATAAAATAATTTTTCGGGATTTTCCGGCATTATTATAGAAAAAAAATTTCCATGATTTTCATAAAGTCAAATACTCATCTACGTTTAAAACACAGCTATAATATGATTAGAAGGTATTAAAATAAAATTTAAAAAATCGCACAGTATGATTTAAAAATCATGCTGAGCTTGATGCTTTGAAGTTTTTTTTGTTTAATTTAAAAA